CTCCAGCACTGGACTGACCAGTGTCTTATAATAGTCCCAGTATCACATCCCTGCTTTTGTATTTTATATATTCATGAAGTAGAAAAAATATTCCATATGCCTTCTTTACCAACTTATCTACTTGTCCTGCCACTTTCAGGGACAAACAGAAAAGAACTACAAGGTTATTTACTGCCACTAGCTGTCTTGTTAACATCTCACCTATGGTGTATTCCCTCAGTTTGTTTACCCTTTCCATTTTCATTACCTCACTTCTCCAGACTGAATTTCACTTACCGCTTGTCCACCTGCTCAACCAAACCATATCAATGAAATCTACCTAGATTAAAAGAGATCAGAGTTGGGAAGAAAATGCTGGTTAGTAGACAGATGATACTTCAATTGGTGACAGTACACACTGCATGTCATTTTTGGTCCAGATTAAAAAATACAATGCATTTAATTAAATGAGTAACTCCCAATTGGTCATTCTGAATGCTCTTAGCAGATAAATCAGCAAATTCAGATCCACCATTCAAAAGTGGGAGAAAAAAAACAGAATGAGGTCAGTTAGCCTGAAATCTTTCATCAGGAAATTGCAGGAATCTATTATTAAGAAAGCATTAACAACACATTTAGAAAAGCATTGTATGGTTAGAGCAAGTCCCCTCTGATTATTCACGTGTTTATCTAAAAGTCCCTTAAATGCCCCTACTGTATCTGCCTCCACCACCATCCCTAGCAGTTAGTTCTACACTCCTACCACTGTGTAAATAAAACTTGTCCCTCACATCTCCTTTGAATTTACCTCCTCTAATCTTAAATGCATGCCCCCCAGCATTAGACATTTCAACTCTAGAACAGAGGATATTGGTGGAAGGGTATTTTTCAGGCTGGAGGTCCATGACTAGTGGTGTTCCAGAAGAATCTGTACTGGGATGTCTGCTGTTTGTGATATATATAAATGTCTTAGATGAAAATGTAGATGGGCAGGTTAGTAATTTTGCAGATGATACAAAGATTGGTGGAGTTGTGGATAGTGTAGAAGGTTGTCAAATGATAGTGCGGGATAGAGATCAGTTGCAGATATGGGCGGAGAAATGGCAGATGGATTTTAATCCGGGTGAGTGTGAGGTGCTGCACTTTGGGAGATCAAACGTTAGGGACAAGTATACAGTTAATGGAAGAACCTGGAGCAGCACTGATTTACAGATGGATCTTGGGGTTCAAGTACATAGCTCCCTGAAAGGAGCCATGCAATTAGATAGGGTGGTAAAGAAACCGCACGTCTTCCTTCCCTTTATTAGTCAGGGAATGGAGTACAAGAGTCAGGATTAATGTTGCCATTTTATAGACTTTAGTTAGGCCACACTTAGAGTATTATGTTTAATCCTGGTCACCACATTACAGAAAGAATATGGAGGCTTTGGAGAGGGTGCGGAAGAGGTTTACCAGGATGCTGCCTGGATTAGAGGGTATGAGCTATCAGGAGAGGCTAGAAAAACAGAAGTCTATAGAATTAGGAGATGCATATATAGGGTTGACAGTCAGAATCCTCCCCCCTCCCCCACCAAGAGTTGAAATGTTTAATACTAAGAGGCATGCATTTAAAATTGGGGGCAGGGGAGTTCAAAGTAGACTTCGTTAAGAAGGAAGATATACTAGGAATTTTGAGGAACTTGAAGATAGATAAGTCCCTCAGGCCTGATGGGATTTATCCAAGGATTCAACGCGAAGCGAGGGAAGAGATTGCAGGACCTTTGGCGATGATCTTATCATCCTCACTGTCCACGGTTTTTGTGCTAGAAGATTGGAGAGTGTCAAATGTCATTCCTTTGTTCAAAAAAAGGGAATAGGGATAACCCCGGAAATTACAGACCAGTTAGTCTTACTTCAGTGGTGGGCAAATTATTGGAAAGGGCTCTGAGATAGGACTTATGATCACTTGGATAGGCACAGTTTGATTCGTGATAGTCAGCATGGATTTGTGAGGGGTAGATCATGCCTCACAAACCTTATTGAATTCTTTTGAAGAGGTGACCAAACACATGGATGAAGGTAGAGCAGTGGATGTGGTATACATGGATTTAAGCAAGGCGTTTGATAAAGTTCCCCATGGTAGGCTCATGCAGAAAGTAAGGAGGCATGGGATAGAGGGAAATGTGGCAGATTGGATTCAGAATTGGCTGAGCCTTAGAAAGCAAAGGGTGATAGTGGACGGAAAATATTCAACATGGTGCTCAGTTACGAGTGGTGTACCACAAGGATCTGTTCTGGGTCCTCTTCTATTTGTGATTTTTGTAAATAATTTGGATGTAGGAGTAGAAGGGTGGATTAGTAAGTTCGCAGACAATACGAGGGTGGGTCGAGTTGTGGATAGTGCGGAGGGCTGTTCTAGGTTACAAAGGGACATTGACAGGATGCAGAGCTGAGCTGAGAAATGGCAGATGGAGTTTAACCCTGAAAAGTGACAGGTGATTCATTTTGGAAGGACAAACTTGAAAGCAGAATACAGGGTTAACAGAAAGATTCTTGGCAGTGTGGAGGAGCAGAGGGATCTTGGGGTTCATGTCCACAGTTCCCTGAAAGCTGGTAGCCACGTGAGTAGAGTTGTTAAGAAGGCATAGGGTGTGTTAGCTTTCATTAATAGAGGGATTGAGGTCAAGAACCATGAAGTTATGCTCCAGCTATACAAAAACCCTGGTTCAGCCACATCTGGAGTATTGTGTCCAGTTCTGGTTGCCTCATTACAGGAAAGATGTGGAAGTGTTGGAAAAGGTGCAGAGATTTACCAGGATGTTGCCTGGAATGGAGGGAAGGTTTTACGAGGAAAGGTGGAGAGAGCTAGGGCTTTTCTCTTTAGAACGATGAAGGATGAGAGGTGACTTGATAGAGGTGTACAAAATGAGCAGAGGTATAGATAGAGTGGACAGCCAGAGACTTTTTCCTAGGGTGGAGGTAGCTATTACAAGGGGGCATAGTTTTAAAGTGAGTGGAGGTAGATATAGGGGAGATGTCAGAGGCAGGTTCTTTACTCAGTGTGGTGGGGCGTGGAATGCATTGCCAGAGAGGGTAGTGGAGTCAGCCTCATTAGGGGCATTTAAGTGGCTATTAAATAGGCATACAGATGATCATATAAAGGTAGGGGTGGAGGTTAGATAGACCTTAGGTTTAGGGTGAAAGTTCGGCACAACATCGTGGGCCAAAGGGCTTGTACTGTTCTATGTTCTATGAGAAATGAGGGACAAGTTTTTTTTTGAAAAAACAGAGTGGTATGAGTCTGGAATGCACTGCCAGGGGTGGTGGTGACAGCAGCAGATACAATAGGGGCATTTAAGGGGATTTTAGATAGGCACATGAATTTGCAAGGAATGGAGGGATATGGACCAACAACAGGCAGAAGGGATCAGTTTCATTTGGCATCATGTTCGGCACAACATCGTGGGCCGAAGGGCTCGTTCCTGTGCTGTACAGTTCTACATTCTAAGTCAATGTGGTTTTACAAAAGGAAATCCCATTTGACTTAGACATTTGAAGTTATAATGTTGGGATTTACAAAAGGCACTTGGATTTTAACCTCCCATCTGCTGGAGATTATCAGAGTACTGTGCTGAGGGCTCTTGAAGGGCGATTGTGAAAAGGTTGTCTCCATTGGAGACTCAAGATCTCTGAATTATTGCTTAAAAATAGGGTGCCAGCCATTCAAAACATAGATAAGGAGAATTATTTTGAGTGTTCAGGCCGTGGAAACAGAATCTTTGAATATTAATGCAGGAGCAGATGCATTGACAGACTAGGATGGGGGTGAAAGTGATCACGACTGAGCAGGAATATGGAGTAATCAGGTCAGCCATGATCATTGCGATTGGCAGAGCAGGCTCGAAGGGCCATGCTGCCAATTGCTATTCCCAATTCATATTTTCATACAAGGTCTCTCAATGTCAGTATGCAAGATAAGGGCTCATGGAGTTGGACATGTTGGGCCAATGAGCTGGTTTCTGTGCTGTAGGATGATTTGAAAGGATAAGCGATTGGTTAATGGACAGGAAGTTGAGAGTAGAGATAAATGGGGCACTTTCAAGTTGACAGGATGCAACTTGGGGAGTACTACAAGTATCAGGGCTGGGGCCTCATCTACTTACAATCGATATTGATCATTTAGAAGAGTAATGCAAAGTACAAAAAGAGAGAACACTGGCTGTGAGCATCTGGAATTTGTCTGAAAATGCTGAGAATTCTGAATCATTAAGTGTACTTAGGCTTCCTCAGTGAACCAGTATGTTTGGCTGCAAACATTTTGTCACCCTGCTAGGTAACATCGTCAGTGCGCCTCCGGTGAAGCGTTGGTGTTCTGTCCCACTTGTTATTTACATGTCTCGGTTTGCTGTTCTGTTTTTTTAGTGGTTTGTATATCGGGTCCAGTTCAACGTGTTTGTTGATGGAATTCCATCAACAGAACCCCAACAAACACATTGAACTGAACCTCATAAAAACCACTAAAAGGAAAACAGAACTGAAAGTAATACCAACCACCCCAGCAAACCAGGGCATATAAACAACAAGTGGGACAGGACACCAACGCTTCACCAGAGACGAACTGACGATGTTATCTAGCAGGGTGACGGAACGCCTGTAATCAAACACACCAGCTTGGCGAGCAAGTCTACAAGCTCATCCACAACCCGAGCTACAAATCTTCTCAAAAAACTTTAAAGTGTACTTAAGATGGATAGTATTTTTTTGCACCCAAGGGAATCAATAGATACAGGGAATAAAATGGGACAGTGCAGACTGAATCTCGTCGCTTGAAGCAGACTCCTGGTCACAAGTTTATTACAAGAGGGGTTCAGCTGGACAGGAATAGAAGACCAGAGTAATTATTTTTTCCAGTGGAAAAGCAAAACATCTTCTGCATCATAGCTAAGGGTAACATTATTTTGAAACACTGCTGATTGAGGTATAGTGACATTTCAAGCAAATTAGTAAGCAGTGCTCTGTAATTACTCCCAACTCTTGAAACATAATTCTCCAAATGATTTTATTGTTCATTGAATCCGCAGTCACAGAATGAAGACACAAACTAAAATGTTAATGAGGGAATAGGGAGAAAGTGCAAGATATGATCTTGTTGCTAAATACTTATTGAAAAGTTGATTGAAAATGGCAACTTTAAAAAGGACCAAATATTGTCACATAAAAGCCTAAAGCAATGCAAATTACATTTACGTGCAGCATTATTTAATATTTTACCAAGACAAATGGTACAGAAACAGACATTCAAAAGCAATACAGCAAAGATAAGCTACAGAATACATCTTCCTGGCCCTAAACACTGATACTTTGGAGTCACCATTAAGACCAAGTAGCCTCGACATTACTTGACTTTCACTAGATTGAGGGGGGCAGTGTTACTTTCTAGTGCCACAAAATGTCATACAGTCAAGTTTACACATTTACTGCAGGTTAAGTTCTGTACAATTAAACTGTAAATACTGAGATTTGTAATTTTACATAAGGTCCTAACCCTAGTACTGAAACTCACTGACTTGAGCTCAGCAATGCAACAGCAATTACGTCATTAGTGGGAACTTGCTTCCTGCAAAGCTTAAGACATCTTCACCTCAACAAATACATTACACAGTTAAGTCAATTTAATACATTTGGATGAAAGTACTTGACTAATATTGATAGGATCAAGGCAAGTTCAGATTGTAGTAATAACTCTGCCTCATGTACAGCAGGTAGGCACCAACACATTCTAATTCCCTGGATAAGCAGCAAATAAAACAGGAAGGGAAACAGAAGCCTGATCAGGAAAGGATGCGGAATGTGTAAATGGCCTCTGTCTCAAAAACAAAATTATCTAGTTCTGTGAACCAAAACAAAAATCCTGAAGTTTAGAAGTCTGACCAACTAGTATTGCAGAGTGCTAATTTATTAGAGAATGGCAGCAATAATTTTCAGTCTATTTTCTCAATCTAAACATTGACTGTGATCAAATACTAGTGCTGGAATTTATGGGCACAATGGAAGAGAAACATACTCTCACTATGAATGAAAAGAGCCTGAACACATGGCCACCTGGCTAGAAGAACTGACAGCAGTTAAACAGCTCACAGAGCATCTATTTTCTTCCTATTACTTAGAAGCAAGAAATCCCACTTCAGATATTAAATCCAGTGGTTGGGATTCCCTACCCATGTTGACCAGCAAGAGACTACCATCATAAGTGACAGCATCTTGCTGATCAATGAGTAATTCCTAATGTTTCATGAAAATCCATTTAGTGTAAAACTCATTACACAACCTGAAGCATCAGTATAGACCTCAGCACAAACATCACTGATGCAAACACTCCATAAAGACTTGTACATAGTGACTTCATTGGGCCCCATGCATTTTGAGGATAGGAGCAGAGATTTCATTCCATGTGGTCATAAGCAAATTGCGTGCTCTCTCCGTTAAGTCCGGCACATCGTCTGTTGTCATGCCTTGAGTTTGCATTGGAGGAAGAACCTGAACGATACATTTCCCTGGAAATAATGAAAAATCAGAATATTCACTCCTGCCAGTCATTTTGTGGGGTTGAGTGCGCGTATTGGGTGGGGCAGGGGTCATAGAGGACAGATGGTCGGGTGGAACAGAGATTTACTGCCCCATTTATAGTTGGGAGGAAATATAGGGTCACTTTATCCTGTAAATATTTCTTTAGTCTTTAACATTAATCCAGTTTTCTTATGAAAACTGAATAAGTATGCTTCTACCGCCCATCCAAATCGTTGACCAAATTGTTAAGTTTACACATTAATCAATTCTACAATATTAAAGAATTTTTTTTTTTTTTTTTTAACTAAGCAGCAACACATTTTCAAACATGTCAAAAGAGTAGACCGAACATATTGGCTCACCTGCATTATTCAGTAATTAAAAACAAATCGATTGAAGAGTCAGAATCACCCAGCTCTGAAACAAAGAAGCTTTGATGCAAAGAAACTGAATCATTCTTTTACAAGGTTAAGGAAACATCAAGGAAGTACGGTTGAAACTCATTAGGACCGCAATTCATTGGATGCATGAAGCCATTTGTGAAAAATTAAGGGGAGGGAGTAAAGAGCAGAGGTTGAATGAAAAACAGGTTGATTGCACCAACAAGGAAACTATAAGATTTGCATGTTTCCAATTACTGAGAAAGGCATAAATATAGATGACTTGACAAAGACAGCGCCATTCTATAGAAAAGCTGACAAGTTCCAGTTCAGAAACATACCGGAGGTAAACCTTTTCTCTGCTCTGTTGTAGAAGTCATTGTATGAGGAAAACACCACTGGTATAATTGGAACCTGAAACACAACAGATCTGAATAAACAAAATTCAATAATCATTGTGGTCTGGATTGTTGTATAACCTTAGCAGGATCAACTTTTACTGGGCTGTAAGCACCCAACTTTCCTGAAATGGAACATGTTTAACCAGCTAAAGCAAGTAAAAAGTCAACTCTGCAATTTTAAATATCAAATGACAGCAAGTTCTTCAGGCTCAAAGCAATCTCTCAATAGAGCTGGAAAGACAGAGCAGCCGACAGACTAAAGTAATAGTTCTCAAGCAGAAAGAAGTTACTAGAAGCAGAATACATGAAGATTAAAGTCACCTAATAATGTGCCCGTTTATCCCCTAATTTATTTTCTGTTCTATAGAATGGTAATTGTTAGACAGCCTATAGATTACTCTAACTAGTGTTGTCTTCCCTTTTATTTCTTACCCCTACTCATATGGATTCTGCATCTTTCAATCCTAGATCACTTCTTGCTATCACATTTATTTCATCCAAAGCTAACACACCACCCTATCCTTCCTGCCTGACCTTTTGAAAAGCCTACCTTTGGTTTAAAAATCTTCAAATACCCTACCTTCACCACTGTTTAGGGAAGATTGTTCCAAGTACTCAATCTCCTCTCCATCTTAAACAGGAGACCACTTACTTTTAAACTCGTCCCCTAATTATAATCTCTCCCACTAGAGAAGCATCCAGTCAACACCTTCCCTGCTCTGTCTCCTCAGGATCTTGTATCTTTGAATAAGATCGTCCCTTATTCATCCTGGTAGATGAATGATAAAAAGTTACTCTGCTAGTGCAGGTGATTAGGAAGACAAATAGAATGTTGCTGTTTATTGCAAGGGGAATGGAGTGTAGAAATACGAATGTTTGGCTACAGTTAATAGAATATTGACTAGGCCAGATCTGGAGTACTGTACAGTTTTGATCTCCTTATTTAAAGGAATGTAAATGTATTCCAAACATTTCAGAGATGATTCTCTTGACTAATGCCTAGGATGGTGGGACGATCCTGTGAGGAAAGGTTGGACTGCTATTCATTTTAAGAATAAGGGACGACCTTATTCAAAGATACAAGATCCTGAGACAGAGCAGGGAAGGTGTTGACTGGATGCTTCCCTAGTGGGAGAGATTATAATTAGTTTAAAAGTAAGTGGTCTCCCATTTAAGATGGAGAGGAGATTGTTCCAACTACTCAAATTTCCCTAAACAGTGGTGAAGGTAGGGTATTTGAAGATTTTTAAAGCAAAGGTAGGCTTTTTCAAAAGGTCAAACAGGAAGGATAGGGTGGGGTGTTAGCTTTGGATGAAATAAATGTGATAGCAAGAAGTTACCTAGGGTTGAAAGATGCAGAATCCATGAGTGGGGATAAGAAATAAAAGGGAAGACAACACTGGTTAGAGTAATCTACAGACCCTCTTAACAGTTACTGTTCTATAGAACAGAAAATAAATTAGGGGATAAACGGGGGCACTGAAAAACAGTACATTATTCATAGGTGACTTTAATCTTCTTGTAGATTGGGAAAGTCAAATTGGCAGAGGCAGCCACAACATTGTTTAAAAGTACCCCTAGAACACAATGACCATAACACGGCAGATTTTCAGCTTGGGAGTGAGAAACCTGGCTCAGAAACAACTGTTCTAAACTTGAATAATTACAAAGGAACGAAGACAGAGCAAGCTAGAGCGGACTGGGGAAGGAGTTTAGCTCAAAGACAGTCGAGGAACACTGGTAGACATTACTAAAAAGTGCTTGACTCATAACAACGATGCAAGCCAAACATGGTTAACCAAGAAAGTTAAGGATAGCTTCAAACTGAAAGAGAAAACACAATGTGGTAAAAGGTTAAAGCAATTGGGATTGGGCAATTTTTAAAAGCCAATAAAAGATGACCACAAAAAGAGGGAAAATAAACTTGTGAGTGAACCTGTAAGTGATATCAAGATGGACAGCGAGAACTTCTTCCAATGTAATAGAGGGGAGAGAAAGGCCTAACTGAACACAAGCCTCTTAAAAAAAGGAGACTGGGGAAAACATAGGGAACCAGGAAACAGCGGAGTAACTGAATGAATGTTTCACAGTGGAAGACACTAAGAGAGAGGAAATAAACAATTATCACTGAAGAAAGAGTACCCGAGAAAGTAACTGGGCTAAAAGCCAATTAGTCTCTTGGACCTGATGCGCTGCATCCTAGAATATTCAAGGAAGTAGCTACAGAGATAGTGCTGCACTGACAGTAATCTTCCAGAATCCTTAGATTCTGGAAAAGTCTCAGATGACTGCAGAACTGCCAATGTAAAACCCTTAACTCAAATATGGAGGGTGCCAAGAAAAATATAGGTAAATATAGGCCAGTTAGCTTAACATTTGTCATTAAGAAAATGTTGGAGTCTATATAAAGAATATAATAGCAGAGCATTTAGAAATGCATAATATAATCAAGCAGGGTCAGCATGACTTCGTGGAAGATAAATCATGCCTGACAAATTTGAGCATTCTGAGGTAGTAACAAGCAGTACGGGTAAAAGGGAACCAGAAGATTCAATATATTTGAATTTCCAAAAGGCACTTGATAAAGTATGTTAGCTACTTAAAACCCTGTGGTGTTGGGCATAGTATATTAGCATGAAGCATAACAGAAGACAGAGCTGGGAAACAGGGAAATTCTGAGGATGGTCCCTGTTTCCCAGCTCTGTCTTCTGTTATGCTTCATGCTAATATACTACACCCAACGCTAAATAGTAGAGTGTCACAGGCATCAGTGTTGGGGCCACAAACAACTTTGATGCAGGAAGTGATTGTACTATCACTAAACTTAGGGATTACAAAAATTTGTGGGAAAACAAGTAGTGAAGATGACACTGAGTCTGCGCAAGTTAAATGAGTGGGCAAAAACCTTGCAAATAGAAAATAATGTGGGGAAATGTGAGGTTTTGTGCTTTGGCACAATGAATAGAGGAGCTGAACATTAGTTAGATGGAAGCTATTACACAGAAGGATCTGGAAGTTCGAGCATGGGCCCCAAAAAGCTAGCGTACAATTTCAGTGGGTAATATGGAAGGCAAACAGAATGTTGGCCTTTATATTTCAAAAGGGAATGGAGTGTAGAAATCACAAAGTCTTGCTAAAACTATACCAGCACTGGTTAGACTACATTTTGATCCTATTATCTACAGAAAAATATACTGGCATCAGAGACAGTTCAGAGAAGGTTCACTTGGCCTATCTCAGATGTGGAGCCACCATCTCACGATAAGAGGTCGAGTGGGTTGAGCCTGTACTCACTGGAGTATAACAGGTTACGTTTATGAATCAAAGGTCCTTAAGGGATGACAGGGTAGCTGCAGAGAGCTCATCTTCCCTTGCGATAGAGTCTAGGACCAGTGGGCCGGATCACAGAATAAGGAATTGTACATTTAAACAGAGATAAGGAGGAATTTCTTCTCAGTAGTGAATTTTTGGAATTCTTTATCGGGGGCTGTCGACACTGAGTTATGTATTTTCAAGGTTGAGATCAACATTCTTAACCACAGGTTATGGAGAAAACACAGAAAACTCCACTTGAGCAGCTCTGTTTATTGACAGGCACACAGACTAAACCCTCAGAGAATACTCGATTGTAGCTGAGTTCCATAAGGTTCCAGCATGCAGATAAAGGAGAGATTCTGTGTAGTGCATCACCAGTGCATACTCCATAGACTTGCTCAACGCTGTACCATTATCTGCAGCCACTGCTTCTATTTGAGTTAATATAACATTTGCACATTTTAACTGATTTTACCTGTGCCTGTATGGCTAAGTGGAAAGCTCCTCGTTTAAATGGCAACATATTACCATCATGATTTCTGGTTCCTTCTGGAAACACCCACAATCTGATCTGGACGGAAACAGATGACAGAGTATTGTCAAGCTAAACATCAAAGTATAACCTTGAAATAGGCTATTAGCCAATAGCACCCACAAACAAGACTTAAAATTCCACTAAATACCCCAATCGGAATACTGCATTCATTGTTACCTCTGTTATCATTTCTGGAGAAAGATAATTGAACTAAAATATTAGCTTTTCTTCACAGAGAACCTGACCCAAGTATTTTGAACACGTTTTGCTTTTGCACTTATGGTCTAGAAATTCTCAAGTATAGCACAAACCCCTAATACACTAAAGCCAGTACCAGGGCTGTGCTTGTTTTTGAAACACAAAGAAAAACAGTTTCCCAATGACAGTACAATGTCCTGAAGTACATTATAAAAGACAGGAAAAGGTAGCCTTAAAATTTGCTATTTGGAAGAGAGCCAAGATACTGGGATAGCTTCCTCAAGAGCAGAGAAGACCAAAAAAGTATTTGAGATTTAAATATAGATTTATAAATCTCACAAGGAAAGGCTATTTCCATCATTTGGGATGCTAGTACTGAATTTTATGAAGGAGAGGATAGTTACAGTTGTTTTTAAGGTTCACTCTTGTTGGACATGGTCATTGTCTGGCACTTGTGCATTATGGATGTTGTCCAGGTCTTGATGCATGTTAGCAAGCACTGCTCAGTATTTAAGGAACTGCAAATGGTACTGAATAAACACGCCATAAACATTTAAGGGGATGTTCATTGATTGAAGGAAAGAACATTGATAAAGGAATCGAAGATAGTTAGGCCAAGGTCAGCACCCCCAAGAAATTCAGGGGCTCTTGCACACATTCATGTCCCTGCTTCTGGGCCAAGAGGCCTAGATTCACGAAATGTGGAGCTGAAAAAGCACAGCAGGTCAGACAGCATCTAAGGAGTAGGGAAGTTAACGCTACCCTACTCAGGAAGCGATCTAGGAATTTTTTTTCAAAACCAGCATTTTTGTTTAAAACCTCAATTGGTTGCTCTACGAACCTTAGTGAGACAAATATTCTTGAACGTGACTGTTATTTACCCAAAATAAAATAAATTCCTTCTTTCCAAATTTGTTTCACTACTCTCAGTTTAACTTCTCCATCTACCAAGTCACTTTTCTCCAACTCCATCAAGAGATTGGTTTGTAACCTTTACAAATATATCCAAATAACATTTGTCTTTGGAAGAGAAATAGCATCAGTCTGAATCGGTGACTGACTTGTTGTAACGTCAGTCAATATCTTTATTGATTTACTTCCTTAGTTCAAAAGGGGAGGTATTTCCTTATGCTTGGAATTAAAATACTTAGAGCTTCCAGCCATCCGAGTCTGTCACTATTCATGCCATTGTACATAGTATACACACAGTCACTACATATACACGTAACAGTCCTGAGCCATCTTTTGCATCTTTGTGCAGTTCAAGGAAATATGTTGTCTTTGTACTAATGTTGGTCTTATTACCAATTTCCATGCCCAATGTCCTCTTTTCTGAAGATTACTTAAACGATCCTACAACTGCAATCAGTCTCCCATTAACTTCCAGCCATTTAGTTTGATACGCACAGTATTACAATGAAGCATATTAATTTCAAAATATTGTTGGCTCTGTCCTTTTTCCTTTACTGTGGCATTATTCTGCCTGTTCTCTAAACTAGCTCCTCTTCCATTGTCAGATTGTCTATTCCTCTATTTTGTAGGTTTCATTTTTCTTTGCTCTAAGATGGTCCATGGTCAACTCGTGTTCTGTAATTTCCCCATCACTCTAGAGTTCAAAGTATTTTTAATTCCATCTTACATCTGATTTTTCTACTTTTATTTCTCCAATAATTCAAGTCTTTACTTCTCTTCCACGAAATTTGTTTTTTTTTAAATTTCTAAACATCTTAGCCAATTCCAGTTGATATCGCAACTGTAGGTTTTCTGACTCAATGTTGGATAATGTTTCGAAGCATCTCATCCTTGACATCTTCTTTTCACTTCTACCTTTAACTTAACTGCTAACTGTTTAACTAGTGTCAAAAATCTTAAATACTCTACATCATATCTTCCTCCTGTCGAAAATTGTCTTCAAAATTACAGTGCAATAAATTGCAAAACACCATTGCTTCATGTCTAGAACCACCATATACCCATTATTTTAGAAAGAAAGACAAATCTCTCTTAAAGCTCATGAATCCAAAAAATCCCACTAAGAATCCCCAATTGTTATGCTCCCAGCTGATGTCATTATTGGATAATTCAGACCTTGGAGTGAAATCTAGCTTGATAGATAATATTTTCTGCCTTTTAGATTTAACAAGATGGCCCTTCACAAACAGGTAATACTGCAGATTCAAGTTTAACATCAGAAACAGAGCTGGCCAGTCAGTCCCTCGAGCCTATTCCGCCACTCAATAAGATCATGGCTGATCTGTGGCTATACACCTGCATTTGGCCCATATCCCCAAAACCCTCTGCTTAACAAAAATGTACCCCTCAGATTTAAGATTAACAACCATCCACTGCCATTATGGAAGACAGTTCCAAACCTCGACTCCCTATAAGTGTGTCCAAACATCTCTCCTGAACCGTCTATCCCTAATCTTCAGATTAGTTCTAGAATCCTCAACCCAGTAGAAATAGTTTACCTTTATCGACCTTGTCTTTTCCTGTTAATATTTTGAAGACTTTAATCAGGTCACCACTTAACTTTTAGATAAAAATAGGCCTAACTTGTAAAATTTCTCTTCATAACTTAATCTCTAAGTCCAGGTATCATACTTGTAAAGCTACGCTGCCAAAGATCAATATATGCTTTAAGGTGCAGTGCCCAAATCTGGTCTAGGCCCAAAGTGGGGCCCAGCTGGTGTTTTGTATAACTGCGGCATAATTTCTGCATCCATGTACTCCAGTCCTCTGGTTATGAAGGTCAGCATTCCATTAGCACCTGTTCATGACATTTTACCAGAGCAATGCAGTTGAACTCTAAGTGTCTTTGGAAATCCCCTGTATTTAACTTCAAAATATCTAGGAAGTATCATGATCTATCATTTTTCAAACCAAAAAGGATAACCTCACATTTGCTTACATTGAACTCCACCTGCCAGTTAGGCCCATTCACCTCATCTAATATCCTTTTGTAATTTCATGCTATCATCTACACGGTCTACACTGCAGCATGATTGTGCATCAAACTTGGATATGTCTTTCTGTGCCATTATCCAAGTTGTTAATAAACAGTGAATAATTGAAGCCCTAAAACAGATCCTTGTGGGACACTGGTCAGATCCTGCTAATTTGAGCACCTACCCATTATCCCTACTTTGTTGCCTACCACTTAGCCAATTTTCCCAGACGTGTCAATAATTTGACCTCTTTCTCCCATAGTTAATAGTTTCTTACATGGTACTTTATCAAATGCCTTCTGGAAATCTGTATAAAACAACATCCATAGACATTCCCCTGTCCACTACAAGGGGACAGGTATCCCGTAACCAAGTCACCTTTTATTTACACATGCATAGTACGTAGACTCTGACTAGCTTGCTCAGAGCCAGTCCCTAGAATGAGAAGACTGTGACACTCTTGTTTATAGTTGTCAACCAGGGCTTTGGGTGTTAACCTGGGCCATCTCGGTGAGATCCACCTGGCCCTTGTTCCAATCACTACAACCACCTTAGTTACCTGTTCAAAAAATTCAATGCGATTAGTCAGCTGTAATCAGTCATAAATTCATGCTGGCTTTCCCAGATTAACTGAATATTTTCCAGGTATTCAATTTGCCCTCCTTGATTAAATTCCAACCATTTCCCAACCACAGATGTTAAATTAACTGGTTTGTAAATCCCTGGCTTTTTTCTTTCGTAATTCTTAGAAAACAGAGTGACGTGCAATTTTCCAATCCAGATGGATGAGTCCTGCACCTTATAAACTCTGATATAGTTAGGCCATCCACATTCTTTAAACTGCCTTGGATGGAAACCATCAAGTCCCAGGAATCTCTTTAATTCTATTTTCTTTTTATTACCGTGATTTTACATATGTAATTTTATACAGCCCCACCCCAATCCACTATTAATTTCCTCAGAATTTCCAGCAAGTCATCTCTTGACTGTAAATAGAGACAAAATAATTATTCCACGTGTCCACCATTTTCCCCACAGTCACTGACAATGTCCTCACTTCCAGTCTGTAGTGGGCCAACACTGCTCCTGACCACACACTTCCCTTCTATACCAAAGCATTGCTTATTGATTTTGATGTCCCTTGCAAGTTTCTTTTCATAACCCCTTTTAGAAGCTCCTATAAGCTGCTTTTCAGCCCTTTGCCAGTCTTTGTATCTTTCCCATTCAGCGGAAACCATGCTGTTTTTTCCACTTTTATAAGCCCTCTCTTTTAGTTTCATGCTGTCCCTTATCTCTTTAACAGTACATGGCTAATTTTTCTGTGAAGTGGAGCTTTTCCCTCAGGTTTATAAATAGATTTTGTATCATGTTAAGTGCTTGTTAAAAAAACATCCTCCACTGTTTTATGGATGTTTATCCATTAGCAGATTTTCCCATCATCTATCTCAGGTTTAACAATAAAACAATAGTATATTATGCAAAAGAAGCAAAGACAAAATAGAATAATCAAATTATCTACACATTATATACAGTAAAAATATAATCTAATTAATCATAACAGCATCCATTCCAGTACTAAAATAGCAGAATGTCCTCCTCTATCTTATGTAGGTATGGCTTAACTTTGGCTTCATAGTTGAGAAAACTAGAAGCTTCTTCCTTGCTTTGTCATATAACAACTTAAATGCCCACAGTTTCTCCAGGTTTTAGTCAAACACTTCTGGTCTGGAAATTTAAATTGAACTGAGGTAACCTATTTTTACCAATTCTAAGTTATCCTCTCCTTTCTCAGGAGCAACAGCTGAAGCTGGATGTGTAAAGCAATGAACCCTGCACAACTAACAAACTAAAAAAAAGCTGTTTTCGAAGCTAATGGATTTCCCCTCCAAGCTCAAAACAAATTTAGCTGACAGCTGTATGCATTACACTGTTTACTTTGATTACTCAAACTCTCCCAATGTAAACAAACTCCCATCACCAAAATACTGACCAGTTTTCAAAAGAGATGAAAATGGAGGAAAGCTTATGCAGGTCACTAACTTTAAAACTCCCCAACAAAACAAAATCTTGCCTTTGAATGTGATCAAGTCAGGGTAGGGAAAGAGGAACCATGTGACAATGGGTAATAGAACCATTCTTTATAAGATTGCGGAAACTGCTATTATATTAATAGCAGGTGAAACAAATTGCAGACAGAAGTTTTTTTTAAAAACTCTAATATCCCTTTTATTTTAAGTTATTTAATTCTTATTGTAATCGAGCTATTTAGTTCATCGTGCTGATGACCTGCTTGAGGTCCAAAATTTTGGATTATGTCTTCAGATTGTAAAATACTATTGACTGCTTAATTTGAAACTTAGACAGGTTTAATATGCTTGTGTTGGTTCTCAAATCAGAAAAATGAATAAAAGATTGAAGCTCTTTTCTAACAAGCAGCTTTGTTTACTCACATTCTCTTTCAGCATGGTCTGAGCAGCCTCAGTCATCACACTTTTAGCATCAGTTTTTTTCTGCCGGTTGATAAAGATGATGCCAGCAAGCCAGCATACTAATCCCACAGTGCCAGCATACATCAGCTCCTTCTTTGCAATCGCAACACAACGATCAGGGAGGATCTCCATCATGCCTGGAAAACAAAACTTAGCACAATGATTTCCTTGCCTGAAGAGAATGGATACCAGCTGGTGTAAATACACCATTTTATTGAACAGCAAGTTCTATATAAGCCTTAAATCATAGAAATGGCAACACAGTAAGCCATTGATACTCTATATTCTCACCCCATTCCCTGCTTTCTCTGCACTATAACAACTTGCGGTGAAATTTGTAAAGCCCTAACCATAGGTGACTTTTAATAAAGTATTCTAGGTTCTTCTCAACTTCTGTGGGTAAATTACAACTTTCCCTTTTCTTGTAATAATTCTCAGCTCACACTTGCTTGTTCTTGATTCACAAAGATTCCTATTCATTGAGGTTGACCTGACAAGCTGCTGTTGCCGGGCTTATATTTATAACCTTTTATTCAACAAGGTTTTAATATTTGCAAATCTATCATCCTCTGACACCACCCAGATGTAAGGAAGACTAAAAATTGTTTCAGTTGTATCAGACTCCACGATGCTCACTCTTACCTTCCTTACTATTCTTGGCTGCATCTTCGCTGTTCCTGGTACTTTCATCAATACCAAGTACCACAAACCTATCCCATGCTTCCTTTTCAATTTTAAACCTTGTAGTATCTGAACTGCAACTTTTTTTACTAAGGCCTGGGTAGCATCATCTTTGGCAGAGACAAATGTTAATACCTCAGCTATGAACTCACCTTTCTATGAGAAAGTGGATACAGGCACCAAATTTGCAAAGATGGGCCATCAAATTTGTGAGCAGACTGACACGGGGGCGAGGAGAGATTGGCAGTTTTGGCAGGTTTAAAAGGGAACAAATCCCCAGGTCTGGATGAGTTGTAACCCAAACTGCGTGGGAGACTAGGGAAGAAATCAGGTCCTGACCCAAATTTTTAATTCCCCTCTGGCTGCAGGGGTGGTGCCAGAGGACTGGAGGACAGCTAATGTGGTTCTACTTTTCAAGACGGGAGATAAATCCGGGAATTACAGACCACGAGTCTCTCATTATTGGTAGGGAAACTATTGGAGAAAATTCCAAAGGACAAAACTCATCCTCATTTAGGAAAGCAAGATTTGATCAGGGATATTCAGGTGCTGTACAAATTCCGAAACTCAGAGCTCAAACTACTCCAACCAACAACACTGTCCACACAAACAGCTGTTCACAACATGAGAAGTATCCTGGAGTTCCCACAAAACAAAGTACACCCGAGGATAAGACAGCCCTGACTTACTTTGTTTAATAATTAATCTTGCTACTGTTGAGAAACCTGACCAATAAAACTTAGTGTTAATAATTCCAACCTTACTTAACTCATCACTAATTGCAACAAACCCTAGTGGAAAGAAAAGATAATACCAGCTGCTCACTAGCTCCTTACTATTATTTGAAATTATGCTTTATAAATTTCTTAGTCATGGAGACTCAGTCTCTAAATAGCATTACTCACCAGCCAATCAACTTTTTCCTGCAGTATCATATCTAGATTTTGAATTCCAAACAAAGCTCTGACTTACGACAGGCAGCAGTGGGCAGCTGCTCTCATTTATTTTTTATGGTCCCTTTGCCCTGTTATGGTTCCTCTGGTCTCCTAGACTGAATATAGATCGGAATTCTAACAGTGGAAACAGCAGTGGCAAGGGTTGGGGAAGTGTACTTTCAACTATATTCAGCGAAGTACTCTTTCACTGACCATTGTTTCCAACCTAGAGGAGAGAGTCATCATGCGGTATTAGATAGGTTTTTTCTCTTTATTAATTCACAGGATGTGGGCAGCACTGGCTAGGCCAGCATTTATTGCCCATTCTTAACTGCTCAGAGGACAGTTAAGCATCAATCACATTGCTGTGACTCTGGAGTCACAAGTAGACCACATCAGATAAGGATGGCAGTTTCATTCCTTAAAAAGGGCAGTGAACCAGTTTTTCGGGCAATCAACAATGGTTTCACAATTAGACTTTTAATTCCAGATTTTTATTGAATTCAAATTCCACCATCTGCCATGGCTGGATTTGAACCCAGGTCCCCAGCAGATTAGCTAGGTCTTTGGATTAATAATCTAGCAATAATACCACTAAGCCATTGGCTCCCCTGTCAAGTTAGGTTAAGTTAATCAAACATTAGTTGGGAAGCCTTTAGAGAACTGTGATTAATCAGAGTATCATGAGGTTTAGGTTAGGCATGGAAAAGGCTAGGAACAAACTAAAGTGATTTCTGAGCCTTCTCAGTTCAGAAAAAGTTCACAACTCATTCCTGGGCTGAAGGGTGAGGTGAAGATGTAATAACAAGCAGTCAGCAACACAGAAGAGTGGACAGAATGAGAACTCTTTTGGAGAAGCAGAAAGGCTGGCAGTGGATCAGAGCTGGACACAGGACATAAACAAGAATGCATGAGTTCAGACTGGTGATTTGCACTTCTGATACTGAATTCCAAGCAACCTGGATGACCATATATGCAAGAGATGCTTCTGGAGCAACTCGAGCTCCAGATTTTGGAGTTAGAGCAGCAGCTGAGGACATTTGTTTCAGGTCATGGTCACCCCATGGCTTAAGAAATTCAAGCAGAGAGGGAATGGGTAACCATTGGAAAAAAGGCAACAATAGTAATGAGGGAATCCCAGCCCCACTCAAATACATTTCATTTGCAAACTGTTTTTGGTCTTAGAAAGCAGGCAGTGTGATTGTTCCTCTGTGGATGAAAGCATAAGCGAAGCAATGGCACTCTGGGTGGTTCAGCTGCCTGGGGTGGGGAGGAAAGAAGCAGCATTAAAGGACAATAGTGATAGGTAATTTGTCAATGAGGGGACCAGATGCCACTTCTGTGGCTGTAAAACTGATTCTAAGATGGTACATTACTTCCTTGGTGCCAGGATCAATGATATCCTGGATGGCTGCTGGGCATTTTGAAAGGAGGGCAAACAGTTTGATGTCATGGCCCAAGTTGGCACCAATGACATGGGAAGAAACAGAAATGAGGTCCTGCAAGTAAATTTTAGGGAGTTATGCTGGAAATTGAAAAGCAGGACTTCAAAGCTAGAAATCTGTAGATTACTGTTGGTGCCATGCAGTAGTGAGTCTAAGAACAGGATAGAGCAAACGAATGCATGGCTGGAGAAATGGTACAGAAGAGAGGGCTTCAGATTCTTAAGAGTGCGACCACTCCTTGAGGAGATTAACAGGTTATATCAGAACAGCAACAGGACAAACATCCTCACAGGAAGGTTTGCTAATGCTGTTGGAGTAGATTTAAATTAGACTGGTCGAGGGGAGTTATACATTAATGATCTGGACGAAGGAACTGAGGGCATCGTTACTAAGTTTGAGTTAACACAAAGGTAGGTGGACAGACAGGTAGTGTGGAGGCAGCACGGAGGCTGCAGAAAGAATTGGACAGGCTAGGAAAGTGGACAAAGAAGTGGCAGATAGAATACAGTAGGGTTATGCACTTTGATAGAAAGAGTAGAGGCACAGACTATTTTTTACATGGGGAAAGCCTTCAGAAATCTGAAGTACAAAGGGATGTGAAGTCCTGGTTTGGGATTCTCTTAAGGTTAACGTGCAAGTTCAATTGGCAGTTAGGAAAGCAAATACAATGTCAGCATTCATATCAAGAGGGCTAAAATACAAGAGCAGAAATGTACTGCTGAGGCTGTATAAGGCCCTGGTTGGACCATTTTTGGAATATCAAGTGTGGCTTTGGGCCCCATATCTAAAGAAGGATGTGACGACGTTGGAGCAGGTCCAGAGGTGGTTAACAATGATTCCAGGAATGAAGAGCTTGTCTTATGAAAAGCGGTTGAGTACTCTGGGTCCGTACTTAGAATTTAGAAGGTTGGGGAGGGATCTCAATGAAACTTACAGATTATTGAGATGCCTGGATAGAATGGATGTGGAGTTGGTGTTTCCAGTCATAGGAGAGACTAGGACATAGAGGGCCACATGCTCAGAGTGAAGAGAAAACCCTTTAAAACCGAGATGGAGGAGGAATTGCTTCACCTAGAGGATAGGGAGTCTGTGGAACTCACTACTGCAAAGGCTTTGGAGGCCAAGTCATTGAGTCTATTTGAGATGAGATGGATAGATTCTTGATTAGTAAAAAGGATCAAGTGCTATGTGGAGAAGGTAGGAGAATTGGTTAGGGTTAGGGGTGGGTCGGTGATAGCCTAGTGGTGTTATTGCTACACTATTAATCCAGAGACCCAGGTAATATTCTGGGGACCTGGGCTCAAATCCCACCATGGCAGATGGTGGAACTTGAATTCAATAATAATCTGGAATTAAGAGTTTAATGATGACCATGAAGCCATTGCCGATTGTCAGTAAAAACTCATCTGGTTTACTAATATCCTTTGGGAAGGAAATTTACCATCTTTACCTAGTCTGGCCTATACGTGACTCCATGACCCACAGCAATGTGGTTAACTCTTCATTACCCTCTCAGCATTAGGATGGGTAATAAATACTGGTCCGGCCAGCGATGCCCACACCCTATGAATGAATAAAAATGGGTTAAGAAACATATCAGCCATTAGGAAAACAGCAGAACAGACTTGATGGGCCAAATGGCCTAATTCTGCTCCTCCATCTTATGCTCCTGTGGGATCTTGACATAGTTCAGTGGAGACAGAAGCTGAGATGGAATGACAAGTTAAAACTCAAGTGACTCTGTAGAGCAGAGGAAACAGACTAGTTAACAAAGTAGTGCGGGATCTTAATGCAAGAAGCCTGAGAAGACACGGATGAGCTGAGAGCAGAGATAGGCACGTGGGAGTACGATATTATAGCTATGCCCAAGACTTAACTGGAAGATGGACAGGGCTGGCTGCCCAATATTCCTGGTATAGGGTATTCAGGCAAGAAAGAAGAGGATGGGGGGGGTTGGAATTGTTGCAATATTGATCAAGGAATCAAATTAAAGCAGTGAAGAGGGATAGTAGAGATAGTAACAAATACCATGGAATAGCACAGCACAGGAAAGAGGTCCTTTGACCCACACCATGG